AAGGAAACGAAAGAAGTTTTATGATTGTAGTAAAGCTAAACTTTATGAAATGCGCAACTTTAATTTGAAAAGATAGTATAGGGGAATAAATCAGTTATTATCCACGAAGTTTACATAACTAAAAATCGAACCCGGATCTAACGATCGAATAATAACGGAATAGCACACTGGCTGCTTCGCAGCCAGTGGCCATTCCGTTATTATCCGATCATCAGATCCGGGTATGATTTTTAGTCATTGCCCACTTACGTGGACAATAACGTATACTAATTACCTATATATTTAATCATTAATTTATTATCCATACACTTAACATACTTTGACGAATATTCTTTGAAGCACGTTGGTAGACATAATAGATGATTTGGATTTTGAAGTTTTTCTATAAATGTACCTTTAAGGTAGCTTGGAATAAATGGTTGTTCATCTATGCTCACCATGTTAGATATTACATATATTTTTGGATAATATGTAATTCATTCTCGTTATATACATATAAATCATAGTGAATTATTAAAATAAACCTATAATACCGCTTGATTTCGTAACCGGGGTATACAAAGTCGTAGTTGAGGCATCGCTTATGCTCGAAGTTGTAAAAATATTGGTTTCAACTGAAGTTCCAGTACTTCTTGGCGGCAATACGGCATTCGGCATTACGCGAGGAGGTAAAATAGTCGAAGTAATAGCCTTATTTGGTACCACCAATTTGGTCATAATATCTTTCCATAGAGTAGGATCAAAAATTTGTTGATATGGATATAATTTTTCAATAACGTCTTCGCCGGCAATTTGAAAATATCGAATATGGGGTAGGCAATTTTTAAGTGTAGTTTTTAAAGTTGTGAATTTGGCGTTAGACCATTGTGCAAGATTAGAATCTAGGTCAGGGTTTTGAGCAATTCCCCAACGAATGACTTGATCCCAAATTTTTCCTTCATCCATTTGCAAGTTGTCAAGTTTCAAAAGGGTGACCAGTGCCTTCTCTGAAAGATTCTCAAAGTCATTAGAATCAAAAACTATACTCGGATGTTTAATAATAATATTATTACAAAACTCTTGTAATGTTTTAAAATCATCGTTTTCAAAACATATTCTATAAACTTTAGCAAAATTTAGACGTATCCACGATGCATGATTCTTAACTAATAGTGTTTGCGCAGTATTAACTAATTCTTCGAGACCAAATTCACTAGCAGCAGCTAAAAGGCCGAGGGTTGTAGTCGCATCAACTTTATTGAATAGAATTATACCACCATAAATATATCTATATAATTTAAAAAGGAAACGCTTAAACTCTTATTTAACAAGTACAAAATTAAATAATATAATTTAATAATTATTATAATTTACTTAATAATAATTTCAAAAATATTAGTAGAAATATGTGGTTTACTGATTTTTTTAATATTTTCTTCGTCGTAACTTGCCTTAATTAACTCTTCACGGAGATAAAAACATCGATAATTCAAAATAATTGAATGTGCCTTAAAAATTTGACGGTTTGGCATTTGACCAACTTCAATTATTACGTTATAATCTTCTCCATTTTCAAGAAGACTTGTTAAATCGTTAGAAAGTTTCTTGAAAAATTCTATAGACATTTTATGCAACAAAGAGCTGAAATCGAAAGAGTAAAGTACATAGTATGTCTGGTTTAGAGATGGGCATAATGCATATTATAGTTAACGTTAAGTCGATATGATGCCGAATTTGTAAATCTGGCACGTACCGGTACGACGTACGTACGTACTACATTATCTGTTATATATAACATTAGGGTAGCTGCGCAGCGCGTGACGCGGCGCAGAACCAGTACGATCATACTGCGACGAGTAAAATTCCGACTAT